ATTTCCTCCTGCCTTCTTCATTGTTGACATTCTTCCATTTCCTTCGCTCCTCCATTTTATTCATCATCTCCTGAGTAACCCATGGTTTTCTTGCTGTCTTCTCAACTTTACCAACCAATTTGCTAATAGTATCTTACATGCATTCTTTGATATTGTTCCACTGCAGTTCAGCATTTCCGCTTTCACTTTCAATTGCACCGAGTTTCTGTTCTAGGGTCTCCTGCACGCTTTGTCTTTGAGCATATAACTTCTCCAAATCCCATTAGGTCTGCACTTTTGCAATCTTATAATTTTCTTCAACCTGGTTCGAAAGTTGGCAACCAGTAAGTTGTGGTCAGAGTCAATATCTGCCCCAGGCAGCGTCTTCACATCCTTCACACTGTTTCTGAATCGATGTTTCACAAGGATGTAGTCCAGCTGATGCCGCCTCCAATCCCCAGGTGCCTTCCGTGTGTACCGTCTTCTCTTTGGCTTCTTGAACCAAGTGTTGGTAACAATCAATCCATTTCTTTCACGAAAGTCAATAAGCATTTCACCCGTGTGATTCCGTTTTCCTAGTTGATGTGATCCAACAATATTCTGATAATGATTCATCTCAAAACAATGCTATTCCAGTCTCCTAATATGATGCTGTTTGTGTCACCTCTTCCATCTTCCTGAAGAATTTCTTCAATTGCGTCAATCTGTACAAAAAATAATTTGTATTCAAAATGAACACAAATAGCCATACAGAAATAATAATTAGTGTGTATACATGGATGCACACATATGTATTGAATGCATTAATTTCTGTCCGTGGCGCCACCAACTCTGGTATTTCAGGTAGGTGGACTGTAGAGCCTAAAAGCTAAAAATGCCTGTTTTAATGTTCAGTATTTGTTCGTTTGAATTTTCTTTCATTTTGATACACTTGTATCATTAAATTATGTAGAGTATGGGAATTCTGTTCTTCTTTGGTTCATATTTTACAAAATTATATCAGTATACTGTTGATTTATGCCAGGTGGTGGATTATGCCATTGCCCGCAAGATTGTAGACCTGCACAGCAACATAGAGGACACTGTGAAGAGAGTATATTCTCGGGAGGAAGTGTTACGCTATATCACTTTTGCTCGTCAGTTTAAACCCCTGATCAGTGAGGTAATATTTATGTTATATTTTAATTGTGAAATAACATGATGAAACTTGTGACGTTTTGTGGAAGAGCAATATTTTACAAGATACATGGATTATTAGAGAGAACTTGGAACTGTGTATACCCAGCCAGCTCTGATTTTATCATACTTCCCACATTTTCAGATTAGCCCCTTTTATTTTAGTGCATTGGCCTAATGATGTATATTATACTCCCTTGAAGTGCTGTTCACCTGGCATTCATGTTCCAGTTCCAAAAGGCTGAGGGTGAGTGGCACAGCTTGACCACAAAACATCAGCCCGCCCTCTTATGAGTTATTTGGTTACAGTTACTGTGACTGACTGAAAAGAAAAAAGAGTATACAAACACTTCATGTTACACCATCAATGTCATTTCTTCATATCCCCCTACTTCCTCCTGATCTTTAAGGAAATACTTGCCACCTGGTCTGAATAACTTGTCTCCTTTAATGCAATAATATAGGAGGCAGCAAACCTTTTGGTGGAGCAGTATACACATCTCAGGCAGAGGGATAGTATGGGTGGAGGGAAGGCTACCTGGAGGATCACAGTTAGGCAGCTGGAGAGTATGATCCGTCTGTCAGAAGCTATGGCTAAAATGGAATGCTCTGATGAGGTTAGTAATTTGTAGTGGTATTAATAATATAAAATGTGGGGTGCAAATGATGGTTGAAGACCACAATATATCCAGGTAGGTCTGAGGCCCAAAAACTGGAATTTTTTTTTTAGGTTGAGTATGTATGTGGAGTCAGAAATAATGAACATGAGGTTTGGATTGGAATATGTTGGTTATGTCATCATTCAAAGTACTGAAAATCTTGGTTTTGAGTTCAAACTCTGTGTGAATTACAGTAAAAATATCTTAATTCATAGGGTCCACTTGTGTTTCTTGCATAGTATTACATGAAATTAATTTAATGCTTCAATGCTTAGTCCCAGGTTTTATTGAAATGGTATGGGAACATATATTTTGTTTCAGGACAGGCCCTGTCTCACTGCCAGGAGCCACTGAAGATCTTGATGTTAGCTTGTTCTTGTTCACTATCATTTCACTGTGTCCCACTGTCTTCCTGGTGCTTGCACTGCCATTACTGGACTTCTTTTTATCTTACCATACACATTTCTTTGTGTCTGTTTCTTTACACATAGCCACTATATGCCGTTAAGCAAACAGTCTGACTCAGCTTCTGCTCTTGAAAACTTCACAACACTTTTATACAGGCAAAGCATTTGGGTTCATAGTTGTCTGGATTGGGCATATCTAGAGCCTTTGAGGGGGTGTTTAATTCAAGAAGTATCAGGAAAGAGAGGCGCACAGATATGCTTCCTCCTCAATCTTGAATATTGCAGCAGTATTTTTAATTTAGTTTATTTTCTCTTTTTTGTTTCTTGCTTCTTGGTTCTGATGCTTTATATGGGGGAACAAATTTTACTGTTTCAGAGGAACATATTGGTACCACTAGTGTGGTATATCTGTCAATCACAATTATTTATTTTCAATGATTGATGTTTATTGAAATGTTGAATGAATGTATAAGGGGTGGGCCTTCTTGGCCCTTGCACCATGACCACAGTGATCTATTGTGCCTCCCCTTCTGATTATCCCCCCAACAATCCGGCGCTTTGAATGAAGCATAGGATTTTGTATGTGGGGACGTCGAAATAGTCACTTGGTTCCATAAAATATTGACCCAAGTGATGCAATCTTAAATAAGCTAAGGCCTCACATTCACACAGGACGTGTGTGGCTGTTTCACTTCCTACTTGACACCTCTCACAAGTTGGACTATTACTTAGTCACAGTTTGAAGAGGTGTCCTTTGAGGTGACAGTGTCCTGTAAGTAGTCCTACCACCCATCGCATCTGGTTCCTATTTAACTTCAGTTCCTTTGCTCTTTTAGGGGGTCCTCATATGAGTCCAGTCAAGGATCCCCAGTATTTTTTGTGATTCGTATTTTTCCAGTCCCTGATTGCCTTTCTGGTGACTCCTATAGAGATGCCACAGGCTGGTTCAGGTCCTATGAATGGATGTTCAGCTCCAGTCTTGGCCAATTGGTCTGCTGTTTCGTTTCCAGCAATACCCTCATGCCCCAGCACCCATATCAGTTATACCCTGTTTGGCCAGTTCCATGAGAGTTTGGTGGCAATCCCAGAACAATTTTGAGTTGATCTGGTGTATGTCAAGTGCTTTAAGTGCAGCTTGGCTGTCAGATAGAATGTAGATGTTCCTATTTCTGTAGGTCCTATCTAGATTATCCATAATACAAGGTGACACAGAAAAACGGGAACTTTTGGCAAACAAATAAAAACAGTGTAAGATTTGAGGCTTTCACGGCGGTGACTATGAAGAAAGCAGTCTTCTGGGATTTGGCGCTGTGTATATGTGGTGTTAACCGACGTTTCGGAGGAACGTATCGCCCCCATCTTCAGGGTTGAAGAAAAAGTATAAGTAAATCTGCACGTGACAACACCGTGAGACACGGTAAAGCAGTCGGTTAACACCACATATACACGGCGCCAAATCCCAGAAGACTGCTTTCTTCAAATAAAAACAGAATACATGCAACAACAAAAAATTTTATTGACAGTAATTGAACC